CAGTAGATAGTCTATAGTCGCACGACTTTGGAGCACTGCAACTTGCACTTCTCCTAATTCTTGGTTGAGTTCTGACAATATAGATCCAGTCAAATTTGTTGTTTTACTGTATGCACAGGCCAGCTTAGATATCTCCTTCATTCCAATGGCAAGTCCAGGAACTGGTGGGATGAATGCAGCTACAACTGCAACAGCGCCAGGATCTTTGTTGAAGTTTTTTGATGATCATCTTCTGGAATGACTCTTCCAAAGGATGTTCATGTTGGAAGTTCTTCTTCATATCGTATCTTACTTCGTTTTCTGGGTAGCCAAATTAGGCTTTGATCCTCTGTATAAACACAAACAAACCCTTTGCCCACACTTTGATATGACCTTTATACCACTGTGAAGAACCTATTGGAGACCACCGCACAGGAACTAGAAGTACTCATTTTTAACTACTGTTTTGTACTTATTGACAACTTGACTGTAGTCCTTAACAGTTTCACTTAGCTTCATTTGCTGTGAAACTATAAGCAAGTTATCTTTGTGCTTTAATGTCCCTATTTGTAAAATAATAATCATGCCTATTCCTATGGTGCTGAGATGGTTAAGTAAATTACATAATAAAACATTTAGAGCCTAGCAATGCTTAGTGGGGTCATTATTATAAAATGCTTTTTTTTTCTATATGCATTTGAAGAAAAGATATATAGGAAATAAAAAACAATGGCCAAAAGAACTGGCATCCGTACTAATTACCACCAATATTCATTCTCCCCTTCACAAGTTCAATTCCCTTCCTCTTAGGTAGGATATCTCCTCCCCTAGGGTCTCTGCCCAACTTGAAATACCTGAGCTTAGTCTAGCAGCCATCAGCAGGTTTGTCCTTCCAACCCCAATTCATGTGTGGAAATCTTTGGAGCAATCTGCTGGCCTCCACTCTAGCTCCATAAACTCAGAGCACCTACTTACCACACACATAGCCAAGCCACAGATGAGCCAAGATGAGACAGAGGAGGATCTTTGTACCAATGTCTCCTTTCTACCTAAGAAGTCCTAGGGCCTTCAGAATTAAAAGACCATTCATGATGAGACCACTTTATGAATTGTCTGGGTTCAGAGCCCATCTCTGTCATTTATTAGCTATATAATCTTTGGCTAGTTAACCTAACACTCCCATGTGTCCTTTTCCCCATCTGTAAAATGGGCTAATAATAGGATCTACATCATAAGGTTATTATGAAGGTTCTTACATGTAAAGTACTAAATAGTAACCAGAATGTAGTTTAATAAAATGTTAGCAGTTAGATTACCTTTATTCAATGACTAATTTTCTGTCTTTTTACCCCGTGAAATAACAAGACATATATTGGTTTGCCTTTGACCCCAGTGACTGACACAGGGCTCCTGAAATCTTTATAAATTCCTAAGTGATAGGAGCATCTTTTGTTCTAATAAGGTGACTCTGGGAGGGCTCCTGGATGGGTGCTGGTCATCAGAAAAACTAAGCCATGATTAGAAGCTTAGAATTTTCAGCACCAGCCCCTCCCCATGCCAAACCTCTATCACATTGTCCAGAGAGGACAGGGGCTGGAAATGGAAAGCCTTCGTTAAAGCCCAACAGTGTGGAGTGTGATGCACCTCAACTGCATGAGAGCAGAAACTCCATGCTTGGGCCAGGCTTCACCCTCTGCATCTCTTCATCTAGCTGTCTGTCTACATCCTTTAATAAACTGGTAAACATAAGCATTACCCTGAGTTCTAAGAGCTGTTCTAGCAAATAATTGAATCCAAGGCGAAAAGGGTCATGGAACCTCCAATCTGTAGCTAAATCAGAAGTTTTGGGTAACCTGAGAACCTACTACTTGCAATGGGCATCTGAAGTGGGAGGCAGTCTTGGGAGACTGAAACCTTAACCTGTGGGATCTGATGCTATCTTTAGGTTGTTTCAGGATTGAGTTACATTGTTAGGACACCCAGCTGGTGTCACAGAATTGATTGGTGTGGGGAAAAAACTCATATATCTCATGTCAGAAGTCTTATGAATGTGGTAGTAGTGTGACAGTAAAGGAAAAATATGGGATGAAGACCAGGTTTCTTCCAATAATTATATACCCTAACCATACATTGGCCTCTCTAAGCAACCCATACCTTGGAACCTTTCTGTGCATATGCAACTTGTTCTATGTGCCTGTAATACTCACCTGGTAATTTCTTACACATCCAATTGGCTCCAATATTTTCTTCAGGAATCTTTCTATGACCTACCCGATAGTCATTCCTCTCTTAAACAGCACTCTTAGTGGATTGAGAGCTGGCTAGCTTATAAACTTTTTAAGAATAAACCACATTGCTGTCTATTAATTGTCCCAATCTTTGTTTTGTGGGACTTGAGGTTTTTCTCCATTTTGCTGGGAAACTCTACTTCTAGGTTGGACAAAGAATTAGAGGCGTAAGTTTAGTATCCTTTATTCAGACTATGAAAGATAACCTTCTATTCACCAAACTATATGTCTATATACAACAGTTCTTTGTAACTAATGATGGCAGAACTAGATACAATGTAAGGAAGTAAGAAAGGCTTGAGGTAAAAATGGGGGAAAGTTTCAAAGGAAAAAAATTCTTTCAAATAATCAGAGCTCTCTGAAATAAGAATAAACAGATATGGGACAGTGAATTCTCCCATTCAAATACTGCTATTTTAACCAATGCTGAAATTCACTTACATCTTTAAGGAAATTCGTGGAACATTTGGGGAGACTGGCCTAGAAACTAAAAGGTACCTACCAGCTCTCAACCTTATGCTTCTATGGAGAAAGAACAAACCACACTTCAGTTTTGGCCAGGGAATCAGAAATTCTGAATTCTGGGTTTAGCTCTTCCATTAACTAGCCTAGGGATGAGTTAATTTATTTCACCCTTTTAGGCATTTGGTTTCCACACTTCTTGAATGAGCACTGAATTCTGATTTCAAGAGAGTAAAAATATTTTTTTTTCTAAGGAAATTTTCCTTTCCAAAACAAGGAGCACAAGAAATAGGAGTATAAACTCCATCTTCTTTGAACTAGGCATTATCTGTAATTCCAAGTCATAAAAATATCAATTTTAAGTGGTTAGAAAAAAGACAAATGACTTAGCAGAAAAAGAAGGTCAAACTCAGGTACCTATAAGGAAGGATGATTCCAGAGAAACTCAGGAATAGAAGATACCAGGAACCACAGAAGGCCGGGGCAAGTCAGTAGACTGGAAACAGGTAGGTTGCTTAAAAATTAATGTAAGGTTTTACATCTGTCCCTCATCCATACCTCACCCACTGTCATGAAGTCTCTGGAAAAATTGAATCAGCAAGGCCCCAGACACTAGGAAACCAGATACTGAAAAAAAAACACGATTTTGCATCAAAATAAAAAATCAAATAATGGCCAACACTACATGTTTCTCACAATGATTTTATGACAACCAACAATTTAATTTTAGAATTAAACACAAATACACATTCCCTCACTCACTGCACAAAATGTAACTGAAAATAACCCAACTTTAAAAATCTCACATCAGCCCGGGATAACTGAAGCACGGAATGTGAAATGAGTCTCTCAGTTATATTAATTCTTGTTCTGCATCAGAAAATAACCACAAAATACCAAGAATTTTTTTAGAAATCCACCAGCTCAATCCAAAATGATAGTCATTTTCTATAACAAATCACAACAGGGGAAACTCACAGGTGATAAAGTAGGGGAAGTTACAAACTTGAGAGCTATGTTCTATTGGTTAGAGACCATGTAGTATTTTTTACTTGTGCTTTTATTTTGGACAATGTGGGTCCTACCCCTAACACCCATAGTAAAAGCCATCTAGACTCATTTTCCCTAGACCAGTGTGTTTCAAATTGTAGGTTGAGATGATTATTGGGTTGTGAAATCGCTCTGGTGAGTGACAACCAAGTTTCAAAAATACGAAATAGGAAATTTCAGAATACATCATACATAAGTATTGTTTCATGGAACTTTTTGCCTCAATTGTATATATGTGTGTGTGTGTGAGGTATATTTTAAAGTCTCTTTCTTACTGTGGGGTACAGTTTTTAAGTGTAAAAAGTACTGTCCTAGATGCCATCTCATCCAGGCCTAAGATGCAGTTGAGCAGAATGACTATCCCCTTTGCCTCAAATGAGCATTTTAGTTCTTTAAGCACTCCTGGACAAACTGACCATCATTTCTTTAGACCTCTGCCCTTCTGTGGCACTTGCTTCAAAAAAAACCAAAACTTTAAAATCACTCAATTTCTATATTCCGCCCTTCTCCAATATTCTAGTCAGATACACCTAGTCCCATCAGTCCTCTTAGCCCATTATTTTCCCATTCTAAATGCCCCAATACTTCATCATACTTATACCTCTGCAACAGCAATCATCTCTACCTTGTAGATTTCTCCAGACTCAGGTCCTCTCCCCAGAGCACAACATGGCTACCAGTTTCTTCCCTATCCCCTATGCTGAGACTCTCAATTATTTTTGGGGGTGGCAGGGGCAAGTGTAGGGAGAAGGGGAGAAGGTGGAGAAGAGAGATGAGTGACCTGGAAGAAACATAATCCAGGAAGAAAACGGGTTCCATGGTGTGGAATGAAATGGAGAATTTGTGGCTCATTTCAGGACTGGAATACGGGTGGTGAGTGACTGGAAAAGGGAGTTTAAATCAAGCATCCACCCTGGATAAACCCAGTGTAGAGATGTCAATCCTTAGTCCCCATTGTTCAAGAAACAAAACCACCCAAGGACTTCCACATCGTATTATCCTTCAGGTTGTGGTGCAGGTGGCCTTTGAACAAAACCGCTGTCCTGTACACCTTGCCTCACCCTATATAGGCTATTATAAGAATATGCCATCAGCTAGTCCTTCGCCCAGCTTGACAAAAACCGTGGAGGCTTTTTCTCAGGATATGATACAGATTGGGGTGAAGGTTTGGGCTTGGTAGTCACCAAAGACGACGGGCACATTAGTGGCTGTGACTGAAATTGAAGTGGGGGGAGCCACGCTGGTAAGGAAGATGCCAGAACCACCATCCCTCTCCTTGTCCACAGGGCAGGTAGATATGATAGCAAGTGTTTCTTCAAATATCCTTCCATTCCTTTTTTTTCCTAGATACCCAATTAAATGTATCATTAGACCTCTTCATTTTATCCTTTACAGTTAACACCTCAGATTGTCCACTTTTTCCTCTATGCCAGTCTAATTTCTTAGCATTTCTTCCAGTTCACTAATCTCTCCTCAGTTGTATCTTATATCCACTGAGTTTATTTCAATATTTTTCATTTCTGAAAGTTCTAGGTCTCAAATTCTCCTGGTCAGTTTTGGTAGTCTCTCAGGGATTGCTCATTTTTGTGATTGCACCATGTGTTTCATTCAACAATTGACCATCTACGATGTGCAAGGCACTGTTGTAGGTGCTGGGGTACATCAGTGAAGAACACAAAGCAGAACACCCCACTCTCACAAAACCTACATTCCAGTGAGAGAAACACAACCAACCGAGTCATTACGCATTCAGTTACTGAAATGGAGACTGAAAGCAAGGAAAGGGTAGTATACAGGGGATGGAGACTTGCAGTATTAAATGTGGCTCTTGAATATTTTCTGGTAATTTTGGTGTCTGGAGTCTTTGGTGGCTCAAGTATATTATGAATTGTCTCAATTGTCAGTCACAGCACTTGTTTCATTATCTAGTGATCTTTGAGAGCTATTTGGTTGGCCTAAATTTTCAACAATTTCAGGGTTATTTTCTTTCAATAGTATTCACACCAAGGATAAGCAAATTGTGGCTTGTGGGCTGAATATGGCCCACTGCCTACTTTAATGGAAGTTTTATTGCCTAGTTTTATTGAAAAACAGCCAGGCCCATTTGTTTACATATTCTCTATGATTGCTTTCACACTACAGTTGCAGTGTTGAGTGCATGTAAGAGACTGCATGGCCCATAAAGCCTAAAATTTTTACTACCTAGCTATTTACAGAAAAAGTTTGCTGACCTCTGATCTACAAATACACACAGGATCTAATAACAAAAGTCAAAATGGGCACTAACATATACTGTGGGAGCATGTGAATTTGGTACCTTAAACAGAAATAATACCATTTCATTAACTGTTCTAACAAATGAGCCTAAGGAAATAGCCAGAAAGGTACACAAAGTCTTGTGTATTGGGCTGTTTATAAAATATTACAATAGCAAAAAAGTGGGAGCAATTAACATATTCAAAAAGGTGTTAAGTATTCATGGAAATGGGAAGACTTATAAAAAGGTTCATGAATCTAAAAATCTGACAAAACTCCGTCTTTTGTATTTTATCCTGGCTCCCCTCATTTCACTCCCTACCTTATCTTTATGATCACTCAGGTTTTCTTCATTCCCTCTGCTTCAGGTTAACCTGATGATGATGTTGTCATCATCTTCTTTTGGGATTTTTTGGTCTTTTGTATCTCAATTTCATTCTTGCTACTGTTTCTTGTTCGTAAATATGCATAAAACACCCTATTTTCAGGATAAATGAACCAACTACTCTCAACCCTAAGACACCCTCAATCTACTTACTTTTCTTAACTAATACCCTTCAAGAAAAGGACATATTCCCCATTTCTCCCATTTTTTACCACATTGCATTTAGGCTTCTATGTTTTCTCTTCTCTTGCTTTAATATTTCCACTGAGATTTTAATGGCCTAGTTGAAAACTGAATAGCAGTATTTTTCAAACTATAAAAATAAGTTATTAAAACATTATTTTATGTTCCAACCCTACAGAATTATAAATGTGATTACTTATAAAATTATACAGAAAAAAATCATTAATATGAAACCATGGGAAATAGTTTCCAATAAATAACTTAAGATTTAGTGTATATCAAGTACTATTCCAATTGCTTTACATGCATTAAGTCATTTGATACTTATAATAACCCTATGAAGTAGTTATTATCCCTGTTTCACACATGAGGAAACGGAGGCCCAGAGATGTCAGGTTACTAAACCAAGGTCACAAAGTTAGTGGCAGCGCCAAGATTTAAATTCAGTTTAGTTCTAGAGCTTACATTTAGTCACTACATTGTATAGCTTTCTCAAGTTTAGATAACTACAAATAACGATTGTTACAAAATGTTAAGGCATAATTTTATTACTTTCAACATTTCATCACAATGAAAATAAATTAAGGTAAGAGAGCTTTACAAAAATAAATTTTTATTAAAAGCAGTAGAGTCTGAGCAGGAGACAGTACAAAGAGTGTAAACAATGTAAACATCACTACATTCAGCTCAGCCTGATTGAATGCTGAAAGACAACTCTAAATGCTCTATGTGCCCTTACTAGCAAGATACATTAATTCTATTGTACACAGAAACACACTCTAATTTTGATTAGAAAAGAGTATTTTATCGAAGTCGGTCCCAGCGCCAAATACTGGCATCATCACAGACAGCTATTAGAATGCTGCTATCCCTGCTAAAACTGGTCTGTCGAATAGCAGCACCACATTTATGATGAGTCAGTGTTGTACATCTAGGGGGAAAACAAAACAACAGGTCAAATACCCATACACATATACAATGCTGCTTCTAACTTAAAATAGTGAATTAGAAAATGAATAGATGTTCCAAAACATGTAAAACATTTAAAACCAGAATATACTTCACTAGGAGGTCAATTTCAAATTTCAAAAACTTCTGGTATATTTTAAATTCAAGAGGCACTGTATAATTTATATAAAAAGAAAAATTTGTCACTAAGGTTTCATAAAAAAATCATTATTAGAATAAAAATACTTTAAAATAACTCTGAGACTCTGAGTAGGAACTGCCTGGAAGGGAATACACAGGAACTTTTGGGAGTGATGGGTATATTCTGTAACTTGATTGGGAGGTTGATTATATAAGTCTCTACATTAGTCCAAACTCAACAAATTATATACTTAAATTTCCATTTCACTCTACATAAATTTTCCCTCTATTTAATAATATCACTAGTTACTTTAAAAAAATAAGTAACTCAGACATGTAAATGATAAAAATGACTTAAGGATGGCATTGCAAGTTTCAATTACTTTTCCTACAATGGCATAACCTTTTGGAGAAAAAGGCAGAAATAATCAATAGGAATTCCTAAATACTTACTTGGCTTTATGAGGATCTTCTACTTCTAAATCCCAGACATATAATTTGCCAACCTGATTGCCCAATGCAAGCATCTGTGTAAATATATTTTTAAAAACATCGTTACTAAAAATATTTTCTCTAGGTTATAGAACATTCAAGCAATCCTGATATCTTTCTTATTTCAGAAAAACCTCACTCTAGCCTCTGGCTATGCTCTTATATATATATATTTTTTGCATCTTATGTTTCTAATTTGTAAATGAAGAGAAGAGAAAAAAAGTAATACTTCACAAACGTGTACTGAACACAGTAAGAAGGCATTTAGCAAATTTATGAAGGGTTTTACAATTTACAATGCTAGCATATACTCTTATGTCTTCCTAAAGAACTGTAGCAAAAGCCACAGAAAGTGCTTCCAAAGCTTTCTTATAGAAATAAATACCCATGTAATTTGTTATCACAAAATCCTAACACCAATACTTTTTTTGAAATTCTAGGTAATTAGTATTTTGTCTCTATCTTCCATGTTGATTTTTCTCTTTTTGGATTAACACTACAAGATTAACACTTTAATCACCATAATAATAAATCTAAGTAACAGATGTCTTGGGAAGTAAATACCTAACTGCCACCATTGACACCCATCAATTTATAATAAGCCTTGCAGATGGTGTGAAGAACCACAAAGGTACAATAAGTAACACCAAAGGCCAAAGCAATCCATACAAAACATCGAGGTAGACTCTTAAGAGGAACAGAACATACACGCACAATAGAAAACTGAAATTGCAATGGTTTTAAGTCAAATAATTTCGAAATGTAAAATATATTGCTACCTTTTGCCAGAAATCCATAGAAAACCTCATGTACCAAATGTCACATTGGCTGTAATCGAATCGCCCAAGAATAGTCACATTAGACTCACTGGGTTTAATTTTATCTATATCATCTTCCATTTTGCCAGGTTTCCAGCACATGCATTTCTTCCAGTTCACTAATCTCTCCTCAGTTGTATCTTATATCCACTGAGTTTATTTCAATATTTTTCATTTCTGAAAGTTCTAGGTCTCAAATTCTCCTGGTCAGTTTTGGTAGTCTCTCAGGGATTGCTCATTTTTGTGATTGCACCATGTGTTTCATTCAACAATTGACCATCTACGATGTGCAAGGCACTGTTGTAGGTGCTGGGGTACATCAGTGAAGAACACAAAGCAGAACACCCCACTCTCACAAAACCTACATTCCAGTGAGAGAAACACAACCAACCGAGTCATTACGCATTCAGTTACTGAAATGGAGACTGAAAGCAAGGAAAGGGTAGTATACAGGGGATGGAGACTTGCAGTATTAAATGTGGCTCTTGAATATTTTCTGGTAATTTTGGTGTCTGGAGTCTTTGGTGGCTCAAGTATATTATGAATTGTCTCAATTGTCAGTCACAGCACTTGTTTCATTATCTAGTGATCTTTGAGAGCTATTTGGTTGGCCTAAATTTTCAACAATTTCAGGGTTATTTTCTTTCAATAGTATTCACACCAAGGATAAGCAAATTGTGGCTTGTGGGCTGAATATGGCCCACTGCCTACTTTAATGGAAGTTTTATTGCCTAGTTTTATTGAAAAACAGCCAGGCCCATTTGTTTACATATTCTCTATGATTGCTTTCACACTACAGTTGCAGTGTTGAGTGCATGTAAGAGACTGCATGGCCCATAAAGCCTAAAATTTTTACTACCTAGCTATTTACAGAAAAAGTTTGCTGACCTCTGATCTACAAATACACACAGGATCTAATAACAAAAGTCAAAATGGGCACTAACATATACTGTGGGAGCATGTGAATTTGGTACCTTAAACAGAAATAATACCATTTCATTAACTGTTCTAACAAATGAGCCTAAGGAAATAGCCAGAAAGGTACACAAAGTCTTGTGTATTGGGCTGTTTATAAAATATTACAATAGCAAAAAAGTGGGAGCAATTAACATATTCAAAAAGGTGTTAAGTATTCATGGAAATGGGAAGACTTATAAAAAGGTTCATGAATCTAAAAATCTGACAAAACTCCGTCTTTTGTATTTTATCCTGGCTCCCCTCATTTCACTCCCTACCTTATCTTTATGATCACTCAGGTTTTCTTCATTCCCTCTGCTTCAGGTTAACCTGATGATGATGTTGTCATCATCTTCTTTTGGGATTTTTTGGTCTTTTGTATCTCAATTTCATTCTTGCTACTGTTTCTTGTTCGTAAATATGCATAAAACACCCTATTTTCAGGATAAATGAACCAACTACTCTCAACCCTAAGACACCCTCAATCTACTTACTTTTCTTAACTAATACCCTTCAAGAAAAGGACATATTCCCCATTTCTCCCATTTTTTACCACATTGCATTTAGGCTTCTATGTTTTCTCTTCTCTTGCTTTAATATTTCCACTGAGATTTTAATGGCCTAGTTGAAAACTGAATAGCAGTATTTTTCAAACTATAAAAATAAGTTATTAAAACATTATTTTATGTTCCAACCCTACAGAATTATAAATGTGATTACTTATAAAATTATACAGAAAAAAATCATTAATATGAAACCATGGGAAATAGTTTCCAATAAATAACTTAAGATTTAGTGTATATCAAGTACTATTCCAATTGCTTTACATGCATTAAGTCATTTGATACTTATAATAACCCTATGAAGTAGTTATTATCCCTGTTTCACACATGAGGAAACGGAGGCCCAGAGATGTCAGGTTACTAAACCAAGGTCACAAAGTTAGTGGCAGCGCCAAGATTTAAATTCAGTTTAGTTCTAGAGCTTACATTTAGTCACTACATTGTATAGCTTTCTCAGGTTTAGATAACTACAAATAACGATTGTTACAAAATGTTAAGGCATAATTTTATTACTTTCAACATTTCATCACAATGAAAATAAATTAAGGTAAGAGAGCTTTACAAAAATAAATTTTTATTAAAAGCAGTAGAGTCTGAGCAGGAGACAGTACAAAGAGTGTAAACAATGTAAACATCACTACATTCAGCTCAGCCTGATTGAATGCTGAAAGACAACTCTAAATGCTCTATGTGCCCTTACTAGCAAGATACATTAATTCTATTGTACACAGAAACACACTCTAATTTTGATTAGAAAAGAGTATTTTATCGAAGTCGGTCCCAGCGCCAAATACTGGCATCATCACAGACAGCTATTAGAATGCTGCTATCCCTGCTAAAACTGGTCTGTCGAATAGCAGCACCACATTTATGATGAGTCAGTGTTGTACATCTAGGGGGAAAACAAAACAACAGGTCAAATACCCATACACATATACAATGCTGCTTCTAACTTAAAATAGTGAATTAGAAAATGAATAGATGTTCCAAAACATGTAAAACATTTAAAACCAGAATATACTTCACTAGGAGGTCAATTTCAAATTTCAAAAACTTCTGGTATATTTTAAATTCAAGAGGCACTGTATAATTTATATAAAAAGAAAAATTTGTCACTAAGGTTTCATAAAAAAATCATTATTAGAATAAAAATACTTTAAAATAACTCTGAGACTCTGAGTAGGAACTGCCTGGAAGGGAATACACAGGAACTTTTGGGAGTGATGGGTATATTCTGTAACTTGATTGGGAGGTTGATTATATAAGTCTCTACATTAGTCCAAACTCAACAAATTATATACTTAAATTTCCATTTCACTCTACATAAATTTTCCCTCTATTTAATAATATCACTAGTTACTTTAAAAAAATAAGTAACTCAGACATGTAAATGATAAAAATGACTTAAGGATGGCATTGCAAGTTTCAATTACTTTTCCTACAATGGCATAACCTTTTGGAGAAAAAGGCAGAAATAATCAATAGGAATTCCTAAATACTTACTTGGCTTTATGAGGATCTTCTACTTCTAAATCCCAGACATATAATTTGCCAACCTGATTGCCCAATGCAAGCATCTGTGTAAATATATTTTTAAAAACATCGTTACTAAAAATATTTTCTCTAGGTTATAGAACATTCAAGCAATCCTGATATCTTTCTTATTTCAGAAAAACCTCACTCTAGCCTCTGGCTATGCTCTTATATATATATATTTTTTGCATCTTATGTTTCTAATTTGTAAATGAAGAGAAGAGAAAAAAAGTAATACTTCACAAACGTGTACTGAACACAGTAAGAAGGCATTTAGCAAATTTATGAAGGGTTTTACAATTTACAATGCTAGCATATACTCTTATGTCTTCCTAAAGAACTGTAGCAAAAGCCACAGAAAGTGCTTCCAAAGCTTTCTTATAGAAATAAATACCCATGTAATTTGTTATCACAAAATCCTAACACCAATACTTTTTTTGAAATTCTAGGTAATTAGTATTTTGTCTCTATCTTCCATGTTGATTTTTCTCTTTTTGGATTAACACTACAAGATTAACACTTTAATCACCATAATAATAAATCTAAGTAACAGATGTCTTGGGAAGTAAATACCTAACTGCCACCATTGACACCCATCAATTTATAATAAGCCTTGCAGATGGTGTGAAGAACCACAAAGGTACAATAAGTAACACCAAAGGCCAAAGCAATCCATACAAAACATCGAGGTAGACTCTTAAGAGGAACAGAACATACACGCACAATAGAAAACTGAAATTGCAATGGTTTTAAGTCAAATAATTTCGAAATGTAAAATATATTGCTACCTTTTGCCAGAAATCCATAGAAAACCTCATGTACCAAATGTCACATTGGCTGTAATCGAATCGCCCAAGAATAGTCACATTAGACTCACTGGGTTTAATTTTATCTATATCATCTTCCATTTTGCCAGGTTTCCAGCACACAATGGCGTTTTCACAAGACTTTAAAAAAGAGAGAAACAAGAAAAAAAGAAACGTTACTTGTAGAACTGAATTTTAAATATTAAGTCTTATTATCAACAGAATTTAACAATACAAAAGCATTACATTATCTGGAATCTACTTTATGGAAGTCACAAAATCTCTTCCAAACCAAACCAAACCAATTCAGCTCTAGATACTTTGGTATCCAGACTTTAACTGTTTTAGAGCAAAGGTGAAATTACCAACATTGTATTAGAATTATAGCCCCTGCTTACTTCACTAGTTTCATCTTTGTCCATCCAATTGCCCATTCTACTTCTAAGTGCACATGGTTCCCTTTACCTGCTTAACTATTAATCCTCTATCCCCAGGGTCTGTGCTGTATGGTAGGTGCTTAACAGATATTGTAGGAAAACTAATGAATTCATAGAAAGGGCCTTAAAGATCAGATTATATAGAACCCAGTAAGACAGTGGTTTAACATCAAGCTGTTGATATGGAGGTGGGATTGAAATAAGAGTTACACCTTCCCTATCCTGTAACATTAAATCTTTGCCTACATTCTACTTAAATAGCAAGTGGTAAAGAAAACAATGGAAGAAAAAACTGCAAAGCAGTGGGCACTATTCCTATCACTGTGTAGGCCAATGGTTTGCCATTAAGGGACATTTGGCAATGACTCTGTCCTCTAGTGGGCTCACGGCAGAAATGCTGCTGAACATCTTATGATGCACAAGTACAGACTCTCTCACAAACAATCTATCTAGCCCCACGTCAATAAGGCCAGGACTGAGAAACCCCTGTGTAGGTGAAAGTGCCTCCTGGAATTTTACAGGACACAGCCGCAGAGTCACATGTGGCAGACTTGTGGAGTTCACGGGCATCTAAACAGCTTAACAGCAGGGTCACAGGAAGATTAGGGAAGGGAAAACATTCTTTTCCTCCTTGCCTTTTAGCTTATATAAAATTGCAGGGCTATGTATCTAATAAACAAGTTATTTAAAGTATCCCAGAGATCATCTATTCTGATGACTCTTAACTGAGTGCACAATTGGATCAACAGCCTATCCAAAAGACTCATCTCAGCTCCAACCCTACTGAATCAATCTAAGGGGAGCCA